TTAACTATTTTTTCTCCAATTTTTGCTTATTTTTTCATTTCAACTCCAAATGCCTAAAAATGGTATACATGCAACAAAAATACTAAAATATATTTCTTAGAGTGTAATATCACCAAAAATAGGCATAAAAAGTGTCCTTAAAACAAAATATTTTTTTTGTGTATTACATTCATTGAACCTATTTTAACTTTTCTTTCTTACTTTAATTTTTATAGTTTGAATATTTTGATTTAATTTATTATCATAATAATTTCATTTTCCAAAACTAAGACTTTAGAGTAGTAGACTAGAATTAGCCTAAGGGATTTCTTACTGCGCTTCTTTGTGGGATCGATACTAGGGTTTTTAAAGAAAGCACTATATTACTTAAAGCAATACGTGCACTTGCGTAGAACTACTAGTGTGTGAACTATTTTATATATTTTATATAACAATTCTATTTTGCACATTAAACACTTAATATAAATTGACATAAAACACCAGAAAAATAGCACACACTAGAGGCATATCTCTACTCCAACGCAGTAAACAAACGCGACGGCGTCATTTTGAAAGTGTCGCCTGCAGTTATAAGCTGTCCCAAACGGGGCCTAAGTGTGCAAGACTAGTTTTCATCTAAATAGATTATTTAGTACCATATTAAATTTTAAGATCACCATAACAAACTAAATCAAGGATATAATATAATTATATGTAATTTCTTGAGAACATATAATAATGAGAGTTTGGAAGTATTTGTTTAGTGAGAGAAGAGAGATAAAATGTAGATCATTTGTTTATCAAAATTTTATAAAGTCATGGTTATCATCACTAATATTATTATTGTGTTGGAAAAAATTCATAAAAGGGGAAAGAATAGAAAAGGCAAGGTAGCACAACAACACCATCATCTTAGCGCCATAGAGCCAAATAGTAAATACAACTGTGTCATTCAGAGAGCACTACAATGCTAAAGATATCAAGAAAAAAAAAAGTTAAGAGCATTGGCACTTGACATTGCTTTGATAGTGTGGTAGTGCCAAAAGTTGGAAGAAAATGCAAGATTGTCAAAGAGCTTATTACGTTATTGGTCAATGGTGCCAATGAGTTGACCTAAAGGAGGAAAATTAGTTGAAGACCACGAGCCCAACCCTTTGGCTCAACATTATTAAGCAATATAATGTCATAAGGAGTAAGAAAAAAAAAAAGAAAAGAAAAAAGAAAACTAGCCTCATAGGTTTATGGTTCACAAATTTTCTTTTTGATTGAATGAACATTTATGTGTTGATATTTATGACAAATTTATGGAGAATTAAGTTATTTTTGGGTTTATGGTGTAGTTATCTTATGTCCCTCTGAAAAGAGTTTTAATTTCTCTCCAAAATTCAAAAATTAAACCTTTGAATTCAAAAGAAGTGCATCTTTGATACAAGTGTCAAATCCCTTCAAATTAGAACCTTCCAAAGTGTCTAGATGCATTGAATCACTGCATGGGGTGTTTAGAACAAGTATCCCTTTAAAAATCTGAGCAAAATTTGTCTCGAACAGCCTTAATTTGAAAAAGTCGCAATCTGACGCATCATGCGCCAAACCCCAAAATTAACTATTTTTTCTCCAATTTTTGCTTATTTTTTCATTTCAACTCCAAATGCCTAAAAATGGTATACATGCAACAAAAATACTAAAATATATTTCTTAGAGTGTAATATCACCAAAAATAGGCATAAAAAGTATCCTTAAAACAAAATATTTTTTTTTGTGTATTACATTCATTGAACCTATTTTAACTTTTCTTTCTTACTTTAATTTTTATAGTTTGAATATTTTGATTTAATTTATTATCATAATAATTTCATTTTCCAAAAATAAGACTTTAGAGTAGTAGACTAGAATTAGCCTAAGGGATTTCTTACTGCGCTTCTTTGTGGGATCGATACTAGGATTTTTAAAGAAAGCACTATATTACTTAAAGCGATACGTGCACTTGCGTAGAACTACTAGTGTGTGAACTATTTTATATATTTTATATAACAATTCTATTTTGCACATTAAACACTTAATATAAATTGACATAAAACACCAGAAAAATAGCACACACTAGAGGCATATCTCTACTCCAACGCAGTAAACAAACGCGACGACATCATTTTGAAAATGTCGCCCGCAGTTATAAGCTGTCCCAAACGGGGCCTAAGTGTGCAAGACTAGTTTTCATCTAAATAGATTATTTAGTACCATATTAAATTTTAAGATCACCATAACAAACTAAATCAAGGATATAATATAATTATATGTAATTTCTTGAGAACATATAATAATGAGAGTTTGGAAGTATTTGTTTAGTGAGAGAAGAGAGATAAAATGTAGATCATTTGTTTATCAAAATTTTATAAAGTCATGGTTATCATCACTAATATTATTATTGTGTTGGAAAAAATTCATAAAAGGGGAAAGAATAGAAAAGGCAAGGTAGCACAACACCACCATCATCTTAGCGCCATAGAGCCAAACAGTAAATACAACTGTGTCATTCAGAGAGCACTACAATGCTAAAGATATCAAGAAAAAAAAAATTTAAGAGCATTGGCACTTGACATTGCTTTGATAGTGTGGTTGTGCAAAAAGTTGGAAGAAAATGCAAGATTGTCAAAGAGCTTATTACGTTATTGGTCAATGGTGCCAATGAGTTGACCTAAAGGAGGAAAATTAGTTGAAGACCACGAGCCCAACCCTTTGGCTCAACATTATTAAGCAATATAATGTCATAAGGAGTAAGAAAAAAAAAAAGAAAAGAAAAAAGAAAACTAGCCTCATAGGTTTATGGTTCACAAATTTTCTTTTTGATTGAATGAACATTTATGTGTTGATATTTATGACAAATTTATGGAGAATTAAGTTATTTTTGGGTTTATGGTGTAGTTATCTTATGTCACACATTAAAAAAAATTAATTATTATTTTTTAATTATTAATAGACCTTCTTGATTTAGTTGATAAAGTGGTCAATGTCCATTTTAACATACCTAATGATGAATAATCCTGGAAGTGTCATTTAATGCTTGCGTAAGATGTACCAATAAGTAGGAATTGAGATAGCAATATACGTAGTTAATGCTTGAAATCCCTTAAAAGTAAATATGTTAATGTATTTTTTTTAATTCACATATTAATATAGTTAACAAAATAATAGATTTAGAACCTCTGTTAAGGAAGGAGAATAGAATATAAAAAAACACTTAATTAATAGTCACTTGTTATAGAATACAACTTTGGATTTAAGTCTAGTAACTTTGTGAACCATAAACCTATAAATTTCTATTAGTTATTTTTTAAATTTAGAAAATCTTTTCAAGTAACAGATTTATTGTACAGTTAGTAAGCAAAATTTTTTTAACATTGATTGAACAAGAATTAGAAAAAAAGAATAGAAATTAAATTTTAAAAATTTTAATTGTGATTCTCATGGAAACGAGACTCTACTCCTCATATATTACTTATGTAGCATGTGGGATTGCATACACCTTTTTAGCACATCACTATGATCAATTGATTATCGAAGCCCAACTACAATCATGCAACCTCCGCCATTTACCTACAATTGTCTAATCATAATCACCCATCTAGAACTACCCAATCTTTGTCGACAGGTTATTGTCATCAAAATAACCTTACCTGATTACAATCATTCAATCATTATCATCTGACTACGATCACTCAATCAGTGCACATTGCCTCAACTCAACCACTTACTACTAAATACTATTGTCATACTGTTGTACGATCAATCAACTACTATCACCTGACTTTGGTTGCTCAAAAAATATTGTCTGACTAATTGTCTAAATATTATCAACGACCTTCATTTAATCATAGCTTTCTCACAACTTAACTCCAATCAACTTCATTGTGTGTCTTTACCTCTAAGACTGATGTGTGTCATTGATGCACATCATCGCTTGTAAGGCTGATGTACGTCGTCCACATATGTCATTGCTTATCAAGTCATTACATATTATTAACACAAATGCCAACACCCACAAATATTGTCAACCAATATTGCCAATACTGTTGACACATGTGATCATCAATGGAGCCAAAATATATCATCCACGTCAAGATTATACTAAATTTCTTGGTCTCTTGGTTTCTCTCCTAAAATAAGAATTATCGAAACTACTGCAAGTGATCACTTAAAAATGACCAATGACTTCGTGCTCCTTCAATATCCATCATGAGATCAATTTTATATGATGCATGCTAACTTTGTCCATTCCTTATTACCATTGTAACCATTGTTTCTAATCTTTAAAATATATATTAGTTGAACCATTTCAAGTGTGTCGGATCACATAATTTTTTTTTTAATTTTCACGTAATAATTATTTTATATTCTATTTTCATTTTCATTTTATCTCTATCTGTATTAAATATTATAGAAATCCAAGATGTTATTCACTTATTCTATATAAAAAAAGGTTTTCTTCAACGCAACAATATATATTTAAAAAAGAAAATTAGTTCATTCTCATAAAAATTTAATCATAATAGATTTAAAATTCCTTAACTTACTTTAAAATAAATATAATGAGTAAGTATTAAAAAAAACTATAAAATTGTTACTCAAAAATAATTTTTAAAATTTGAAATTTAACATCATCATTTTTTCATTATCATTTTTTTTCTACATGCTGCAATATATATTTAAAAAGGAGAATAAAATCATTCTCATTAAAATTTAATCATAATGGATTTAAAATTCATATGTTTACTTTAAAAAAAGTATAATGTGTAGGTGTGAAAACAAAATTTTAAAAATTCTTATCCCAAAAAAGTTTTAAAACTCAAAATTTTTCATCATCATATTTTTACCATAATTTTTAAACTTTTCATTTTCCCCCCAAACCAATAAAAATTATCGCCATTTTGACGTATTTTAAAGGGTACTTTCGTCAATAATGCACGTAAGTGTATCAGTCAAACAAGCGACACACGAGGCTACAACTGTCGAAACGAGGAGACGGCATGCTGCGCCACTTACTCTACTCCGATGTGACCATCCTCTCCGCCTTCCCCATTTAAACCCTTTGGGCTCCAATCGGCCAGCACAACCTGCCTCTTTCCGGAGAAGAAAGCCAGAAGGGGGAGAAAATTTAGTGTTCACTTCTCGGTTGTTGATATAATCGCAACTGAAGACGGTAAAGCTCATTTGATTCTTTAATCAGCTGCTACAGCTCTTTTGTCGTTCTCATCTGCTCGCGCATTCCTTTATATTCATTCCATGATTTCTTGGCAACTTTCTTCTCAAAGAAAGTTTTTAGAATTTTGTTTTCTTTAATAATGTTCGCTTCATAATGGGTTAGTTTGGATAGAAGAGATCAAAATGACGTTTGAGTTTCCAAATAGTTTGTTCTTGCCGGGTTACTAATTTAGCCTTCGGTTCTTTTTTTTTTTGATTTATAGAAGGTAGGAATTTTTTTTTTATCCGTTGAATTGGATTTCCCTTATAATTCACTTCTTTATTTTTCTCCTTGTAATTGTGGCGAACGCTGAGGCAACGGATAAGGACTCGCCCACTCAGGGGTAGAATTTTTATTACCGTCACATCCATTGTTCTTTTCTTCTTCTTCCTGGAAAGCAGGGACCTAAAAATCTGAACTTTAAAAAACGAATCTTTGCTCCTTCTAGTTTATCTTTAACTTGTGGATGGAATGGATAAAATATTAAGTTGAAAATTAATTCTAAATATCTTTACTCACCAGGAAACCGTCTTCTTTCATTGGAAGCAATGCGAACAAGATTCAGCAAAAATCTCAAGGTAGCAATTCTTCCTCATTTCTAGTTATCTTGTAATCATTTAGTGAAAATTTCTTAATCTCATACTTTTAAATTTGTTTACAGTCTTACTCTTGGCCTAGGTCAGTGGTGCCTAAATGGCTAAAAGGTCAAGACTTGAAGTTCAACACAGAGTGCAAGTCTAAAAGTAATAGTTCAATCACTTGCTCTGTTAATTCATTGCCTGGTTATTACCTTTGTATTTAATTATTTAATCTCATTCAAAAAGCAGGTGCCATTGAATCCCAACATAGAACGAAGAGCTTCTCCAATAAAGACGAAACATTCTTCGTTTCAAGAGATGTATCCGGTAATTTTTCTCTCACTTTCTGCTCTGCTCTATTTCTGCGTCATCAGGATGTTCCATCGCTCCCGTCCTCTCTGAAATTCGCGAAGTAGCTGTTAAAGGATTAAATTCTCGACTTTGCATTATAATCTCTCTCTCCCTCTCACCGTTTGTCTGTGTGTGCGTGACGAAGTCTCGTCCTTTACCTTTCAGAACCGGAGTGGTTGGTGAACAGTTCCGAGACTCGCAGACTCGAATCTTCCCCGTCTCAGAGCCTGAAGTATGTAACTGAACTTTTTTGCATTTGCCCCAAAAAAAAGTCATTTTTGCATCAAAATCTTTTTTTTTTTTCAATTACCGGCGAGCACAGAATGTTCGTTGGAACTTGGAATGTTGGCGGCCGAGCTCCCGACTCCGATCTCAACCTCCACGACTGGCTAACTTTCTCTTCCTCTTCTCCGGCAGACTTATTAGTCTTCGGGTTAGTTCTCCTCAATCCTACTCGACAACAATGGGGAAAATATTATCGCCGGGAATCTATCCCTACTTAAATTTTCGGCCACCGGCAGGTTTCAGGAGATCGTGCCACTAAATGCCGGCAACGTCTTCGGCACTGAGAACAGAGTCCCCGCTGGCCAGTGGCTCTCCCTCATAAGGCAGGCACTGAATCCTCACAGAAACCAGCAGGAAGTCACGTCCAACCCGATCTCCATGGAAGAAGCCGCTGAACCGGCGCCGTGGATCGGCGACGGATCGGGCGGAGTCGGGAGAAAGGATAGTTACCGACTGGTGGCCAGCAAGCAGATGGTGGGGATCTTCTTGTGCTTGTGGGTACGTGCGAGCTTATTGCCACACGTGAGCAGCGTTCGGGTCTCGTGTGTAGGAAGGGGCATAATGGGATACATGGGAAATAAGGTGAGATCGGCTTAATCATAGCTGCTTGGTAATGACTCAAAAAATATATAAGTTAATTAATTTTTTATTATTGAATTGTGCAAGGGATCGATCTCCATTAGCATGACCTTAAAGGGAACAACCTTTTGTTTCGTATGCACACATTTGGCGTCCGGAGAGAAAGAGGGGGATGAGGTAAGAAGAAACGCTGATGTAATGGAGATATTGAAGAAAACCAGGTTTAATAAGTCCCGTAGCTTCTTCTCTGATTCCCCTGACACTATTCTGGAACACGAGTACGTTTATTTTTTTTATTTATAATTATCAAGACAATTAAGATGCCCTAATTAACTTCTTTTTTTTTTTTTTTTTGCTTTGAATTGCAAAAATGATCTTAGTTTTAATTGATTTTTGCAGTAAAATATTGTGGTTGGGAGATTTGAATTATCGGCTTGCAGCCTCGTGGGATGAGATGCTGGAATTGTTATTGGAGAAGGACTGGCGAGCGTTATTAGAGTTGGATCAGGTTAGTTAATGTTGTTTTCTTAGGCTTATATTAAGTTTTTGTGCTGATTATATGCGGAATAGATATATAAGATGTAATTAATTAAGGAATTGATGGCAGCTAAGAAAAGAGCAAACGGGGGGGCGTGTACTGCGCGGGTGGGAAGAAGGGAAAATAAATTTCCCCCCCACTTATAAATACGTAGCCAATTCAGACTCCTACGCCGTTAGAACGGCTAAAACCGGTGGCAAACGCCGCGCTCCTGCCTGGTGAGTATTTGCCTTTGTTGATTTCTATAAATTTTTTTCTTTTTCATATATTTTCCTTCATTTGAATTATAATCATGGTAGTAAAGTTAATTGAACTAAAAAAAAATTTACAAATAAGAAACCAAATGAAAATGTTAGGGTCCCATGTTTTAGTTATTTATTTTATATTAATAATTTAATAAAAAAATTATGCTCAAGATGTTTCGTGTTGCATTTCTTGTACATATTATATTTTATCATGCCTTATTTTTGTTATAATTGTGTTTCATGTTGGTATTCATGTTTCAAATATAGGTTTTATCACTTTTTACATTTATGATCGTACTTTCATTTATTACATTTAGAAGTCAATTATTGTCACTGTTTTCCCAAGAGTGTATCATATCAGTGACTTCGAGGTGAAAGTTCTGAACTATTTTTGGTTATTAAATTGAATGAGGAATCACGTATTTAGATTTTACTCAGTCGCTTACTCGTTAAATATTTCAACCAAAATTTTTTGTATCTCTTGGCTCAAGCTTTGGTATTTAGTAAATGATTTGTGGGGCCACCATTTCTCCTTCAAGATCATAAAATGCTCAAATTCTTTTTGATTTGAGAATTCGAAATGGTTTGATTAATATTGGTACCATATCGTTTTTGAAATTTATTCCTATTTTTCTCAATAAAAGATTATAGGAGAAGACTTTTTTCCCCTTCCATGGAAGATAAAATCTAGACTAAATAAACGGGGAAAAGAAATTTTTCTTTGCCAATATTGAATGTCCTCTATTGAGACCATTGAGGGGCAAGATTGATCTTGATTAGCTTCCAACCTTTAATTGATGGAAAGCTTGCTGGTGTGGTGCTTGATGTTGGCCCTGACTCACCCTTTTATAACATTCTCATTATTGGAAGACCTAGTAGGAGTGAGTATTTTATTTAGCTTTATTTCTCCTTGATAACTTCCTTGGGGATTATGGATCAATTGTTAAAGATCCTTCTTATTACACTATTAAGATAAGTATTATAATGCAATCTACTTTGTTGTTGGATAATTGTGGCTGAGCTTCTAATCTTTTTTACCATTATGGGCTTTCTTCTTTTCTGGCAATCTTTTCTAGTCTATGGTCAACTAAAATATAAGTTATAACTAAGGATAGTTAATAAAGAAAGTATTTTCTTTTTTTCTGGCCATCTTTTACATACGAAGCAGAGAAGTTTTATCATTATTTTACATACAAAGAAACCATTATTCTTTATTATCTTTTTTTCATTGTGATAGTTCTCTCATCTTGTGCTCTCAAACACCCTATTTGGGAGAAATTTTGTTATGTATAACCTCATTATAAATGGTTTCTTTGTCAGAAGCTAATAGAAAACATGATAGTGCTAATTATGATTTTATAACGATGTTGTATCAAACTGGAAAAGCTTCACTTGTGTTAAAAGAAAAATAATTTGCAGTACTATAATTGTTGTGGATGTGGAGCCCTGTGCACTTCTTCTTCTAGAAAATCATTAAAGTGTTAATTATGTGATTAATTAACTTCCTAATGAAAGCTTCACGCCCTGTGTTTCCCGCGCCCCGTTTTTTCTCCCTCCGCGGACCCGCCGAACCGCGGGAAGGATTTGCCTGT